AGGTAATTAGAAATCATTCCCTGGGGACCATGAATATCCAATGATTTCAATGCAATCTGGCCAATGGTTAAGTTTCTAGTTTGTGGATGGAACATATCAGTCCAACCATGTAAATACCTGAAATTGTAGCCAGGTGAGACATCATTCTTCTGTGACATGGCATCCAGTCGGGTGAATGAGTATGAAGGGTTACACTGGTCATCTGACTTGTCCAGATCACATATCCAGCCGATCTTTATTCCAATCACTCCTCCCTGACAGAATTTTCAAAATGAGACACATGAACTGGCTTCTAGGAATTACATTTAAAAGCAACCAATTTGTACTGGCTAGTATGTTTGGAAGAAATGTTACAAAAAACAAAACATTTTGTTCCTATGCCGGAGGTAGTGTGACATCCGTTCTTAAAAAAATAAACATACAAAGAAACGTGTGCCTGACCATACCCTGATTGCTGCATTTTATAGGGTTCACTGGGAGCTGCGGATGAGTCTGTGCCTTAATAGCAGTGCGCATTGTGATTCATAACATTTGTTTCACCAAGAGGATGTGAAGCCGGTGGTCCCTGCAGTGCATTAAGACAATGGGGGACAACTAATCTGTGCACACATTGTCAATGCCTTGTAAGTTCAGACACTCTTACTGTTTGAAAACATCTTAATCAGCTCCTTCTCATTGAGCTATTTCTACTGTACTGCTTCAGTTCAAATAATTTCCCCCTTAACTGTCTGATCAGAAACCCAATATAAAGGATATTTAAAGAAAATAAATACAAATAATGACTGTAAATAAATATTAAATTTTTTAGCTTGTGGTTTGTTATTATTATTGTTACTGTTAATATAATCAGTCAAGCCAGATGAAACCAATCAGTTAGCTAAACGTCAAGTGTGCCTTGTAGGATGTAAAAACCTTGATCTCAGAGTTATCTTTGATCAGGACATGTCCTTTAACTCCTACCGACCACCTTTTTTCACCTACGTAATATTGCAAAAATCAGAAATATCCTGTCTAAAAATGATGCAGAAAAACTAGTCCATGCATTTGTCACTTCTAGGCTGGATTACTGTAATTCTTTATCAAGCTGTTTTAAGTCCCTTAAAACTCTTCAGCTGATCCTGAATGCTGCAGCAGATCATATTTCTCCTGTCTTAGCTTCTTTGCACTGGCTCCCTGTAAAATCCACAAAAGAATTTAAAATCCTTTTGCTCACCAAAAAGCTCTTAATGGTCAGGCACCATCCTAAAGACGTCATAGTACCCATAGACAGTATATTACTGGACGAAGTCACCCCCTGATTTGAATGGAGATCAGGGGATAGGGTTTTGACGTCATTTTTGGGCCTACATGGATCCCTCTATGCAGGCTTTGGTCGGCTTCACTGTCCGGTCCAATCCCAATGTCCCCCCCTAAGCCCTGAACCCTCACAGACTTTACTGACGTCACTTGGAAAGTGATTTGAGTGCGAGAGGCTGCAAGGGCTCAAAATGCTGTAAACAGGAACAGGACAGCACTTTGCCACTTTATCACGTTACCTTGACGATGCTGAGGCACTTTTTATTTGATGTTGCCTGATTTTTAAGTCCTGCAGGCTCTCGCCCTGCAGAGTGGAGGAGAGGTAGCCTAAATGTTAATATATATTTGTAATTAATCAATAAAACTATTGTTGGTCAAACAGCATCATCAAGCAAAAACTAAAATAAATAGTTGAATAAACTAAATATGTAAGAAGGTGATTGCATTCCTCTGACTTCATGTGTTCTGTGCAGTATCTTAAGTTAAGAAAACTTTCAAAACTTTTAACATCAGCGTGGTGTCGATGCTTGTTTGTTTATTTTTTGTTCTTCTCTTATAATTCATCCCCAACCGGTCGAGGCAGATGGCCGCCCACCCTGAGCCATGGTTCTGCTCGAGGTTTCGCCAAGTGCTTGCTCTTGGTGGGAACTGTTGGGCTTGAGAATTACTAGACCCTATATAGTCCAATCAATGTATCCCAGAATGCATTTTGAATAGTAGTGAACAATCGATGGTCACTAACCAAGCCCTATATACCATCATGCATTGCGCTGATGGAAACAACTGATTGTCTAATGGCAATGACGTAATTAATGGCGTGAGCTGACTATATAGTGCTCTACATACAACTCCCTACATAGGGGGTAGGGTAGTAGTGAATGAGAAATGCAGACTTACAGAAAGGGTCTATAAAGGCCTCAAAATGTCCGCGAGAGAGCCCTCGCGCACTTGACGATTTGACAGTGGGACAGCCCTAAGGCCTCACGGACTTCCTGGGAACACCTCAAAGTCTGTGAGTCTGTGAGGGTGGATGTTGGGATTGGGCCTCCGATCTCTGGCTTACCCCCCTGATAGTACCTTATTTTACCCATGTCACAAAGGGTTAACAACACAGAAGTGCCTTAGCAAATCAGAGCGCAGGTTTACAGCAAACGTTGCTGACACTGGGTGACACTGTGGGGAGAGGACATGTTTCTGAGCGGTAAAAATGTAGTTCAGATAAAACCGTATAAGTTGTCAGATGAGAGTGATAACAGTCTGGACTTTGTTTTAAGACTATAGATGTGTGTGTGTGTGTGTGTGTGTGTGTGCGTGTGTGTGTGTGTGTGAGGCCCTGTTCATTGAAACCTGCCGAATGACAAAGAAATCCCAAATTCGTGAGTCATGTAAAAAATAAATAATTTACTGCTGCGTCACAAGATGCTAGGCTAAGCTAGCCAGTTCAAGTGCATGGGCCTAGAGCTAACAAAATTAGCAGTGAGTGATGAACAGTGCAATTAGCCTGTTGTAGACTTCAACTAAACTATCTGTTTGACATTTTCTTTCATTGTTCATGGTGAATCTGTTGCATTTGCACTGCATAGTTTTAATTTCTGCAACATTGTTCTTTATATTTAAAAATGTATAAGCTTTGTTAAGTTGTTAAGTTGCTCAGTAATTCATTTGATGTAAAACGTATTTAAAAAATAGTGATTGTGCCATTTGCATTTATATATATATATTGGTTAAAGGAACACTTGAGAAACCCGTTTGAAAAGGCTATTGACTAATGAACTATTCTGGCCGTGTCAGTGACTGCTGGCCAGGTTTTTTTCGGAGAGCTGAGTTAAAGTTGATGGCGAGCCAACCCAGATGAGAACTCAAGATCCCTGGATTGAAGATCGCTGAAGTGAGGAACTCTGAGCTAAGGACTACTGATCTTACCCCTCTCCTGCCACATTAGTAGGATAACCAGCAACACTTTTACACTCACTGTCTAGCACCACTTGCACAACCCCACACTTTCTAACTCTACTTTTTTTTTGGACTTTGAATGGACAATTACCTCCCTCATCCGTTTTTAGAAACGCATCCCTGGTGTCTGCAGAATTCATACGGTTTATTTGGTGTACTATGATGTCCTGGTTATTGTGATTTTGGCAATTGCTCATATGGTGAAAAGCAAATGATTATAAAGTTGATGTGACATGTGAAGTGATAATATTGAAACAGGTATTGTTTAATATGGTCATTCACCGGATGTGAATATTGAGGATTGAGATTTTGAGTTATTGATAATAGGGTGCACCCAGTAAGAAAATAAGAGAAATAGTTGAAAACAGATCAGCGATTTTAGCCCAGCTGAAAAATAGAGGTAATTATACGAGTTCAGTGGTCTCTTGCTCTTCCTGCTTGACACCCACTCCTATACTATTATTATTATTATTATTATTATCATCATTAATTACCAGTACAATTATTACTTTTCTGCCTGTACCACTTTTACTGTTTTTGTATTTTTGTGTGGATATTGAATAGCACTATATAAATAAAACTGAATTGAATATTACTGTATAGTGTATTTGAATTACACACAGTACAGTGATTTTATTTGTACATTTGAAAAGGTGTACTGTTTTGAAACAGTCAATAAAATTAAGTAAATAGAGCGACTGTCTATTTCATTTCTTAATTTTCATTGAATAAATATACAGATGTTAGAAATAAAACCTAATAATCATCTGCTTATAGTGGTCAATTTGACCCCGACAGGTGTGATCTCTGTACATTCAGATGGCAGGGTCTCTGCAGATACAGATACCGCCACACAATTCTAGTGGGTCATAGGTGATGATTTAGAGGGATGTTTTTGTTTTTTATTAGAGTCTATAAAAAAAAATCCTGCTCATGATAGTAGTCACAAGGTCTTGCAACTTGACTTTAGACTTAAGTCAGAATTAAGTCACAAAAGACAGGACTGGAGACTTTGGGCAGCATCATGTTAGACAGACTGAGGCACAGGGTGGGGATCTCTGGTACAGCTTTAGAATGGTTTTCATCATACCTGTCCAATAGGAGGTTCTGTGCCTGTGAATAACTATGTCTTTACATTCTGTTTGGTTGAATATGGAGTTCCTCAGGGGTCCATTTTATTTTACTTGTATATGCTTCCCCTTGGACATATTATCCAGAATGGTGTATCCACATGGTGTTTCTTTTCATGTTTATGCTGATGACACACAGATGTACCTGCTGTCAGATCCACAGACCCTGGAATGCTGAGTTCACTTACTGACTGCCTCTGTGATGTCACAAATTGGATTTCACATAATTTCCTCTTACTGAACTCAGACAAAACAGAGATCCTGGTCATGAACTCCCAGCAAAGCAAAGCAAAGCAAATGCTGCCATCTGCTGGTCCCTAGTGGATCATGTCAGGCCTGTTGCTAAAAATCTTGGTGTCTGGTTTGACAGCAATTTAATGTAGCCCCTGGGTTAAACCCCAGAGCTAATTTAAACACAGCAGTGTAAACCCTACATTGTTACTATAGGAGGCGCTGTTCCTTTAAGGGGACAGTGTTTTCACAGTTTGTTTAGAACGTACATCACTCAACACGAGGTGAGACATATTAACCTGCTGCTTTTATTTATGTGCCTTTGATTAGTCCATTGACAGAGACATCCAGCTTCTAAAAGGTATGATTTGTTAGGGGCGGGACTAGTAGTCAGAGGAACTGGAGGAGAAAAAAACAAGGGAGACGTGAGAGAAGTAGACACCGCAGTGTGAGTGTGCGACTGTATTTTGAGTGGTGAATAGCTGCGAACCAAGACAAATATTAGAGTGTAGAGCCTGACTCATTTAAGAGAAGTGTGTTTGAGAGTCTGCTGTGGACATTACCGTGTATCTCTGAGCTAACTTCGGCCGGTAGGCTAATTAGCATAGTATCTCACGGCTTGCTTGCCGTGTGTGTGTGTGGACTTTGAGGCCCGGACAGAACACCAGATAGCGCCCCGTGTGACCAGAAAAACACGGGTGCACCTCTGGCTATCACTGGCACTGAGGTGGGAGTTTTCTCCTTTTCTTCATCATCACCGCTGGGACTACCTAAGGAGTGGTCTCTTCTTCTTCTTCTACATCAATATCAGTGGGACTGAGAGTAGACGGTCGCCTGCCTGAAACAGTGAGGGGACGTTTGAACTGTTCACCATTGGTGAGTAACTGGTACCCTGCTCAGGGAGCGAAAGGACCATCCGTTCTTATTTATTTATTTATTTATTTATTTTTTAAACCTGTCCTGCCCAGCAGCCTGGTATATAGTATAATGACCTGGATACCATATTGTGCCAGACAGATTTTACTTTAACAAGAGAGTATTAAAATGTCTGTTTTATTATTTATTTAATTATGTATTGATTTGTCACCGGGCCGGACAGGGGGGCAGACAGGGGATGGGGGGGGGCACAAACAGACAGCACAGAGAAAGGACAACACCTGTAAGAGAAGGGGGAAAGGGGATGGAGGGTGGGGACAACAGGGAAAAGCTGTGGAACAGAGAGGGGGGCTTGGGGAGGAGAAAAACAACAACAAACAAACACAAACAAAAAAACAATAAAAATAATAATAATAGTAAAAGACAACCAGCCGAACAGCAGCAATAAACAGCTGGGGGGGTTCATGGCCTTTTGGCCTACAAACACATTTAGTATCCAATGGCATTGTGAGGCTAAACAATAGGACCATTTGGCTATGTAAATGTGGTCTTTGTAAATGCTCTGTATTTGTATAGTGCCTTTCTAGTGTTCTGACAACACAAGCGCTTTACGCTCGCATTCAATCATTCACACACATTCATACACTGAGCCACTGAGGGATTCCAATTAGTGGTTGCCCACTAATCCCTGACCAGTGGTTTTTCCGATTAGTGGGCAACCCGTTCTTCTCCTGAGCCAATTTCTTAAGTTTCTTCCTGCTTTTACCGTGGATCTTATTTGTTTGTTTTCATTGTCTTTGCTCTATAAATAAAGATTATTATTTTTATTTTTATTAATTAATTCATTCAAGGACATACATTTGGATTCTGTAAACAAAGTCTACTTCTGTGATAAGACCGTTTGATGCAGAGTTTCTTCCTCCAATTGCTTGAATTGTTAAATAATTTAATAATGATGTTCATATCGATGGCCCACTAAAGTCTACTGATATGGGCTCCAGACCAACATGAACCTGATGGTGCTGACCATTAATTTACTGACATTTCCACCACATGGCTTTTGTTTACAGTTTCAGGACTATTTGAGGTTTGTGAACGCAAACAGGACCAGTTGGAAATTTTAAACAATGTATTATTGTCGCATTGGTTCGGTTCAGGAAACAGATCTTTAAGTGTTTAGTTGTTAGACCTATGCACAGGAATGATGTCAATTATTTAACAAACATTTAACAAACATTTGTAATGGTTTCTAATGGTAAATGAACTGTACTTGTATAGTGCCTTTATTGTCTTCTGACCACTGAGCCAGCTTCACAGGAGTTGTAGGCGCAATTGATGGCGCTCATTTAAAGATCGACTTTTTTATCTTTCATTTCCAATGTTATAATGTATTCTCTTGAAAATGATTTATTGTCAAATTTGTGTTGAATGTAAATGTGTTGAATTTCACCATTCAATGTGAATTTATTTGAGAATTTTCTTAAATAAGGAAATCTATTCAGTGATTGGTCCTTGCCTACATCATACGTCATCCAAAATCCTGTTTGCAGCACAGCAAGTGTCGTGAATCAGACAATTAAGATTTAATCCTACACTTCACTGAAATTAGGTCTGAGATGCTTGATAATTAACTTTTAAGTGCAGCTTTGAGCCAAGAATTCTTTTACTTTTAAGTCAGTTCTTAGCAGTGTGCTTATGAATAAGTCTGAGAAGCTTGATACGGGCCCAGGAAATCATCTGCCTTGACTTTTGAATTTTCTTACAAAGACATGACTTGAACTTGCCCCCAAAACCTTAAAAGTATCTCTTGACTCTACCTTGTCTACCAGTTTAGTGAAGTTCTGCTGTGCGTAGCGGACGACATCTCCCACTCTGAAGATGGGGCAGTAGGTGTTGTTGACCATGTCAAAGTTACATTTTTTGATGTAATCATCAGTGATGGTAGGAAGGAAGTTTCCTCTGCACACATAGACACATATCATCATTTCAACATGTCAGATTTCATTATCATCATCATCATCATATTTAGAATTATAGTTGTCATACTTGGTGTAGTTGAAGGTTGGGAAGCGGATGCTATTCTTAATGAAAATGGTAAAATTCTCAACTTCCATCATTGGCGTACTGACAGAGAGGGGAAGGGGGGGCACAGAACAACAGAAAAGACCAACACACAAACAGTATTGTGTTTAAATGTGTTATTTTTCTTCAGCCGCACAAAGTCAGCACACAAAGTTGTCTTTGCTTTTTACAATGTGTCAAGGCTCAGATTTCTACCAATGGATACAATTCAGTTTAAATCCACTGTAGTGTGGCGAAGGCCTGCCTTCTCGATTATCTCAAAAGCGGGACAATGAAAACTTAAACTATCTGCATGATAAATGTTACTAGGTTAGTGACTAAGTGAGCTGCCCCAACAGAGATGTGTCTGACATTAGTATAACAGTACAGAACAGTGATTGTAAAGCCTTGTAAAAAGCTCTCCATCACTTTCCAGGATTGTCTTACGTCTTGATGGTGTCGATTTCGGCAGGACACCATCCTTTTATCTCACATCTGTTGACTGTGGTGTTGAAAGGAACACATTTCCCTGTAAGAATTCCTGAGCAGGAAAAGAAAAGCTTATATGCAAACTGGAAAAGCAAAAATAAGTGAATACCAGTTCTGAAGTATTAATTCAACACATACACTGTATGCATTAGCGTAATAACAAGGTACAAGTACAAGGTACAAGATAGATAGGTAGAAATTGATTTTGTAACTTCCTTCTGATACATAGCAGACAATATACATTAATATAAAAGCAATAGTAAAAATGGTAAACACAAATAAACTATTAATAGACAAACTCTGTGTTCTTTCCAATAAGTTATTGTGGTCATTGTTGTTCGCTGATGCTATGTTGAGGTATTTGATGTAGCTTATAGAGTTTATGACCTTAAAATTTTGGGATGATTGGTCTAGCAGTTTCTGGTGAAATATCAAAAACAGGATTTTAAGTGCTTAGAATTCATGAAATTTACTCGTACATTTAAACTTAAGAATAAAAGCAAGTTATCAAATTTCTTAAAGCTAAGAATCACTCTTACTCCCAGTTATTTAAGACAGCTCGAGAGGTCTCTCAAGTGGTTAGGAGCTGCCAGTAGGGCTTGTGATGGCCCTGTGGAGATAGAGACATGCATCTTTCAGGAGAGGAATATTGTTTCTGAATTATTTGACGAAAGACACTTAATTAGACTAGGTTGGACTAGGTTGCAGTAATGCTTTTTCAGTTAAAGCGAAGGTGGTGATGACGCTTCATTTATTTGCCACAGGACAAACGCAGCAATGCTGATGATTTTGGCCGACACAACCATCAATAAGCTGAATAGTCATGGAAAGAATTATGGCACTTAGGCGTTTCATCGACTTCCCAACAACACCCCCCATAATCCGACAGAAGCAAACTCAGTTCATATTGCCGGCAATACAGGAGTACTAGGCGCATTTGATGGAGCTCATATAAGGATACACTTTTTTATATTTCATTTATTAATGTGTAGGCCTATATCATAATTTATTATCTTGAAAATTAAGAATCTAGAATATTCTTAAATAAGGAAATCTCTTCAGTGATTGGTCCTTTGGTCATCATCCAAAATCCTTTTTGCAGCACAGCAAAGTGTCGTAAATCAGCACTAAGACTGACACTTAAGATTTAGTACTACACTTCACTCAAATTAGGACTATGATGCATGATAACTAACTTTTAAGCACAGCTTTGAGCCAAGAAGAAGGAGAGCAGTGTTCTTATGAGTAATTCTGAGAAGCTTGATAAATACGGGCCCAGATGCACTTTGAGATAACTGTGAATATGTAAACTTGATGATGATTATTATTATTATTATTATTATTAGCATAACCTTGAGGTCAGTGAGTGTCATTGTGTGTGCTTGAGTTGTAGGTGGAATTTGGAACCCACCTGCCAATATTTGTGTTTCTAGGTCTTATTTTTTTTGGCAGAGAAAAATAAAAAATGTCCACAGGGTCACAATAGGCAACCTTCAAATTAATATGACCCCAATGAGAAAGAAGAAGAAGAAGAATGAAAACACACAACATGCATTAGTTAAATCAAATGTTGGTTTCAGGTGTATTTTTGGTTTTTTACAAATGATTAAATTATAATAATAGTGGGCCACTAAATGTCACTTTTGACTCACTTCTTGACCATAGGCATAGAGGCAAACAGATGTGTTGAAAAAGCTCTCTAGGAACTATGGTAAAATTTTTACTGCAATATAGATGGAGATGAGAGTTTGTGCTTATAAACAACTCCTTTTTCGCCAATCCTAACCAAATTTTATACAATTAATTGAACATGCTGAAGAAAATGTTGAAACGGTTTCACTCAAATCAATGTTGTTTTTGTAAGTATTTGTGTTTGTGAGATAAAGGCAGTTTTGAACTGTGAATGAAAGCTAAAGATTTGAGTTGACTAAAAACAGAGGAAGAGAGAGTGTGCATCTGCATTTTTTTTAACATACAACTTTATTGAGTACTGCCTTAGCAGGGTTCAAACTCACAACCTTTGGATCTAAAAGAAACACAGAATTTGCACAACCACTGGACACTATACATACAGTGTAACCTTTTACACAACTTCACACAACATGAGGCAATGACATCACTTGCCAGACTTAGGTATTTGTAACTTTTGTACGAATCCACGCAGCCGATTACGAGCCTCCTAATGTCAGACTATCTAAGGACTAATAAACGCTCAGAACTAGCATCAGAACACTTGTAACAAGTTTGGTTACAATAACTGAAGCCAATTTTGATTTATGGGCATTTATGTAATTTTGACCTTAAATATTTAAAAATGTTAAGTACTTTTTATTGGTCCAGGGGGAAAAGTACTTTTTTGTTTCTAAACGTGTGATGGCGATTGCTCAAATAAAAAAAATTGTCAAAATTGTCATAATTGTCAAAATATGTCCAGGTGCAACTGGGTGTGGCTTAGGTTCATATGGACCCACAGATTCCAGGAAAAAAAATTTTGTTTCTGAGACTTATGGTTTAAAAGTTATAGGCCAAAACGCTTCGTTGCTTGGACCCCTAATAAGCTTAACAGATCCAGTACACTCCAGCAGCTTCACTGCTTGGACCTCTAATTATAAAACTGTCATCAAATACTTTAAAGTAGAAAGGAAAAGAAAAAGACAGAGAGAAGATCTCACCACAATTTCCTGGCTTGTTGAGGTGCTTTGTGCAGTCAATGTCTTTGGCACAATTATACCTTTTCTCACTCTGGGTAACACAAAATCATACACACACACACACACACACACACACACACACACAGATTAAAGCTGCATCAACCCTAACCTTTTTTACTGTCTTTAAGTTCATGGTTTCTCGGCAGGCAGACAGACAAAGTTAGTGAGAAGCTGGTGAACATAGTGGAGCATTTAGCAGCTGCTAAAGAGATTAAAATATGTTTTTTTCAGGAGTTGGTGGAGATCAGAAAATGACATTATCAATGTCATTATTACCTTCACAGCTAAAACACAGCCAGACGTGACTGTTTCTACAGTCAGCCAGAGTCAGTATTCAATCGCGGGAAATGTAAAGGGCTGCAGCGGCTCACTTCAAAGAAGCTCCATCACAGAGCTGTAGCACAAGCATGACTTTGACAGGCGGAAGGAAAAGTAGTTCCTATCTACCGAGTATAGTTAGTGCATCCTATTGACAGTAAGATATTTATGATAAAACACACACTCACTCCAAATTACTGAGTTTAGTTATCGATCCTTTTATATGAGTATCGATCCTAGAGCAGGAAACGTTGGTATCAGAAATATCGATACTTTAGTATCGATCCGCACATCACTAGTGGAGAGCCATTGGTCTAGATTTTAAAAGTTTGACTTCTCTGATTGGTTGTAGGTCTGGACCTGCATTCAGTGCAATGCAGCAGACTCACGAAATTCGGATCAAACTAGGCAGTGCTGAATAAATATGAGTGAAGGTACTGTACATTTTACTGTACTGTTTAACTGTAATATGAGATATATATACACACACACACACACACACGCACAATGAAGTCAGAATATATTGAATGAAGTCTGAATCATATTACAGCTGAACTATATATATATATACAGTATATATCTCATATTGTCCATATCATTGATATGGACAGTATATATAGAAGTATATACACATATAATTAGAATATCAAAAAGTTGGTTTATTTCAGTAATTCCATTCAAAAAGTGAAACTTGGATATTATATTCATTCATTACACACAGACTGATATATTTCAAATGTTTATTTCATTTAATTGTGATGATTAAAACTGACAACTAATGAAAATCCCAAATTCAGTATCTCCGAAAATTAGAATATTACTTAAGACCAATACAACAAAAGGATTTTTAGAAACGTTGGCCAACTGAAAAGTGTGAACATGAAAAGTATGAGCGTGTACAGCACTCAATACTTAGTTGGGGCTCCTTTTGCCTGAATTACTGCAGCAATGCGGCGTGGCATGGAGTCGATCAGTCTGTGGCACTGCTCAGGTGTTATGAGAGCCCAGCAGCAGGGTCAGCAGCAGGAAGCATGAAGTGCTCTAAAACTTCCTGGTAGACGGCTGCGTTGACCTTGGACCTCAGAAAACACAGTGGACCAACACCAGCAGATGACATGGCACCCCAAACCATCACTGACTGTGGAAACTTTACACTGGACTTCAGGCAACGTGGATTCTGTGCCTCTCCTCTCTTCCTCCAGACTCTGGGACCTTGATTTCCAAAGGAAATGCAAAATTTCCTTTCATCAGAGAACATAACTTTGGACCACTCAGCAGCAGTCCAGTCCTTTTTGTCTTTAGCCCAGGCGAGACGCTTCTGACGCTGTGTCTTGTTCAAGAGTGGCTTGACACAAGGAATGCAACAGCTGAAACCCATGTCTTGCATACGTCTGTGCGTGGTGGTTCTTGAAGCACTGACTCCAGCTGCAGTCCACTCTTTGTGAATCTCCCCCACATTTTTGAATGGGTTTTGTTTCACAATCCTCTCCAGGGTGCAGTTATCCCTATTGCTTGTACACTTTTTTCTACCACATCTTTTCCTTCCCTTCACCTCTCTATTAATGTGCTTGGACACAGAGCTCTGTGAACAGCCAGCCTCTTTAGCAATGACCTTTTGTGTCTTGCCCTCCTTGTGCAAGGTGTCAATTGTCGTCTTTTGGACAGCTGTCAAGTCAGCAGTCTTTCCCATGATTGTGTAGCCTACAGAACTAGACTGAGAGACCATTTAAAGGCCTTTGCAGGTGTTTTCAGTTAATTAGCTGATTAGAGTGTGGCACCAGGTGTCTTCAATATTGAACCTTTTCACAATATTCTAATTTTCTGAGATACTGATTTGGGGGTTTTCATTAGTTGTCAGTTATAATCATCAAAATTAAAAGGAATGAACACTTGAAATATATCAGTCCTGTGTGGAATGAATGTATACATTATACAAGTTTCACTTTTTGAATGGAATTACTAAAATAAATCAACTTTTTGATGATATTCTAATTATATGACCAGCACCTGTATATAAGTTTGTGACCATGCCACCAACACCGCCCCAACTCATCACACGTTTCATTGCTCTGACTGGTTGTACGTTTATCCAATTGCGCCCAGAGGCACTTTGGTCTGTGTCCGTTGATAACAACCCTTGGAAATCAAAAATGAACTGAGAGGTTTTAATGTACAATGGTTGTAATGGCTTTTATCCAAAGCGACTTACAATTGCTATATACGTCAGAGGTCTGGAGCACCTAGGGGTTAAGTATCTTGCCCAGGGACACCATTGGTGTGTCACAGTGGGGAATTGAACCAAGGACTACCACACCAGTGACATGTGCTTTATCCACTGTGGCATCACCACCCCTAGTATTGATGATTCTGAGGCCGTAATAATGGTGGGCGTATTGGGGTAATAGTACTGACAGTAGCTGACCTCTGGGCAGTATCCTTGGACTTGGTTCTCTGTAGTGATCATTTTGGTGATGATGCAAAAGACTGAAGCTCCCTGCAAAAAACAAATATAAATATTATAGTATAATCGCCATCACTGTATCTTACTGTCAGTCATCTAATCTGTCCACCCATCCATCTGTCATCCATACCTGTGTAGGAGTGACGTAGTCTGCAACATCCATGACCTTGTCGTTGTAGATTCCCAAACCTTTGACTTTGGTCATCACTGAGGATTCAATAGCTGTGTCTCTCACCTGGTAGGCCTTCTCATTGACAAACACCCACCTCAAGCACACACACAAATAACACAAAATGTGTCATTTAGCCTAAACTGAAATGTTAAACCTGTGCAGTACAGTAGGGCCAAGCTGACAGAAACATTAT